TCCACCATGAGGTTCCACTGCCCTGGCCTGAGCTCCTCCCAGAGGCCCACCTCCTTCTCCATCACATTGAATATCAGGATTTCAACCTATAAACTGGGGTGGAGGGTGGTGCAAACATCAGACCACAGCATGGACTAATTGTTTATTCCAGAAATGTTATTGAAATACTGCTGTGCCCAGGTAATATGGTGAGAGCTGCGAGAAGTGATAAAGGATATCTAAGACTCTCAATGACCTTGTTGTCTAATAAGGTTGAAAATATAGGAAACATATGAAGGCAGGTGATTTAATGCAAAGCAGAGAATGCTGAGCATCTCAAAAGAAGCACAGATGAGTGCTTAGGGTTTCAGGGGAGGGAGAGATTAATTTGTGCTGCAGTTGACGCAGAAAGCTTTCCAGAGGAAGTGAGGTTCATGCTGTAAAGTGAGAGAAGTCAGCCAAGTGAACCTGTCAGGGAGGAGGGGAGGTAGGAGGAGAGGCAGAGCGAGGGGGAGATGGTTTCTTGGTCGAGGAACCCCGCCAGTTCCCTCAGCGAGGCCAGATCCAAGCATAAGCATCGCCTCTGTCCCCTACTTTATCGTCATTGGAAATGTGTATTTATCCTGTGTGTGTGTATTTATCCTGTGTGTGTGTGTGTGGTGTGTGTGCCGTTCATTGTACCTCCAATGCCCGGAACAGTTCTTGGCATCTGGTAGGCCCTCAGTTAGTATTTGGGGGAGGAAGAAGGAGAGAAGAAAGGGGGAAGGGATCTGAACTTGAATTTTGTCCTCATCTCCAAGTAGGCAGACGGTGGCTCTTACAGAGTTGATGAAAATGTGAGCCAGATGGTGCCTGCTATACTTAGCTTAAGTGTACACTGGAGCAATTTAAAAACACCTTGCTTCCTATTTACTATTATCTGGATGTTAAATATCCAGTTTGGGGAAACAGTAATTAGAATGTCGAATTCAAGTCATCTCGAAGTTGCCTGTGATTGGTAGGACAGGAGAAGAAAACTGCCCAGGAGTGGCACGCAGGAACGCAGTGGTTTTGTGCTCTTGAAATAGGTGAATCAGTGGGTATCTTTAAGAAGTCCCTTTGCATTCCTCTTGTTGGTGTTTACCAGATAAGGACACATAGTCATCAGAGGACTCCGAGGAGCCTGTGAGAGTCACTGTCGTAGGCTCCCTTGTGATTCCTCCACTGTTCTGGAAGTGAAATGTTCCCTAAATACAAGGTGCTACTCCTTGGTCTTCATTTGCTTTTTTTTTTCACACATTCCTCCCATTATACCTGTGTCATAGCTTTATTGTAAATGCAACTAAGCCCTGTCGGCGTTTGTGGTTACACAATGATAACTTTTTTGACCTATTTTGAACTCGCTTTCTTTTTTGAGCCTTTGTTCTATCACAGTTTCTGAAAACAAAGGAAGCAATGCCCATATCAGTGTATGAATGTGTTAGCCTTTAATTCTAATCAGATAAAATTCGGACATGTACAAAACACGAGAGAACAGTTTTTGTTCCACCAAAGGTTCCCATCCATCTTCTTTGTTTTGTTATCAGTATATCCAGTTCTATAAAGTATTTTCTCATAATTTTATCTTTCCTGAAATTGCTTTTTCAGAACTATCGAGTGAAAGATGCAATATACAAACAAATTGAATTAAACATGAAAGACAGATGATTCGGGCTCCGTTCTTCTGGTGTGCTGGGGAGTTAACCAGGCACAGTTCATTAACACTAATGGAAAAATTCATCACTTACCATGAGCTTCTCCAGACATCGTAGGGCAATTTCTCCCCCTAATTTGTGATATAATTTGATTACTTCTAAATGTACTAAGATTCAAAAAGGAGGTATTTTATCAATCATGCATCTTAAAGATTACTTCTCATTAATTTAAATATGAATTCCTTTGAGAAGAGACTTCCTCCCCCCAAATCAATTATTTTCTATAAATATACCCATGACATCCTAGGCACTATAGCCTTCTTTACGTTTCCAGATAATAAAAGCATATACTTGCCCATAGTTTGACTATAACTTACATTCTCTTTGTGTTTTAAGTATGGCTCAAGATTCAGGAAAAAAATTAATTGTTTTTCTTAATTTGACTCAGAAATATCTATGGAGTAGGGATTTGGGACTTCCCTGGTGGTTCAGTGATTAAGAATCTGCCTGCCAATGCAGGGGATATGGGTCTGATTCCTGCTCTGGGAAGATCCCACATGTTGTAGGGTAAACAAGAGCACATGTCACAACTAAAGCATAGCCCCCGCTTGCCACAGCTAGAGAAAGCAAAGCCGTGACAAAGATATGTGTACGCGTGTAGAAATGAACTCGCAAATGTGCTGATGTCACATATCGGAGATAATGTTCATTTCCTCTATCGCCAAAAGATTAAATTTGAAATCACAGGAGTCTCGAGCTTAATTAGGATTAGAGTTTTCCCTCCAGAAGCAGAGACACTCCAAGCCTGCAAAGGACTTGGTAAATACTGAGCAATCATACTTCACCACCTTCAGATCTTCTCTTTGGACTTAAAGTAAAAATTCACATTAGGACACGTCTTAACTCTGCAGCCCAATGCCTAAGAGAGTCACCCTTCCATCATAGTGAGCATGCAAACTGGTTCTGGATACAGATTCCATTAGTGATGGTGCCTGTGGGTACCAGGAAGGCCCACTGACCTCTGCTTCGCTTTTCTTTTGCAGGCTAAGTCGCTTCTGACTCTGTGACCCTGTGGACTGTAGCCCACCAGGCTCCTCTCTCCATGGAAGTCTTCAGGCAAAAACTGGAGTGGGATGCCATGCCCTCCTCCAGGGGATCTTCCTGACCCAGGGATTGAACCCACATCTCTTGCTTCTCCTTCAGTGGCAGGTGGATTCTTTACCCCTAGGGCCACCTTTCTTCTCTTTGCTTCAGTGGGAAAAGAAAATGTTAGAAAGAGGCAACAGTAAAGTATATGAAAAAGGAATGAGAATCTCTGCCATTTCTAAAGAAAACGAGAAAGTGAGGAGAATGGAATCTGTTGGAGACCCTCTTGTGCTGAAGTCTGACTGGCCTGGGTGGCTTCTGGGCACACGGTAGCTTCTGGGAGCCGTGAGGTCAGTTAGAGTGTGGGCCATGCTTGTGTGCATTTGTATTTGTGCATTTGTCAGCCAGGGAATCCATGACATTTAGTAGATTCTCAAAAAGGATTTCGACTCCAGAGAGGCTCTGGAATAATATTTGTTAACCCTTCGGGAAAGATGGGTTTCCCAGGTGGCACAGTGGTAAAGAATTTGCCTGCCAGTGCAGGAGCCACAGGAAACCTGGGTTTGATCTGTGGGTGGGGAAGATCCCCTGGAGAGGGGAATGGCAGCCCACTCCAGTATTCTTGCCTGGAGAATCCCACGGACAGAGGAGCCTAGCAGGGTACAGTCCATGGGGTCACAAAGAGTTGGACACGACTGAGCACGCACAGCATCAATCAGAAAGGACCTGCAGAGGAGAGAGTGCCTCAGAGAAAGAGGCTGGCAGGAGACGGCTTACCAAGACAGAGAAATACAAGACTCTGGACAGTAATTGTGACGGTGACCACACTCCTTTATGGTGTGTGGACACACTCGCATCAGTGGCGCTTGCACATGTGATGTAAACAATAAAACCAGAAGGAAATGGAGGAAATGTCGATGGTTTGCTGTGGGAAACCATCTACTACTATTCTGTACTAGAAAGCTTATAATTTATAAATTATATATAGCTTTTCTAAAAACAGAAACTTCAGTATATAGCTTACAAGCTAAAATGAGGACAAGTAAAACCTTGTTCAGGCCCTAAGGTACTAAAATTTCTAATAGTTTTCATGGTCTGAATATATAAGTAAACCTTGCATGAGGGGAGAAAGTATGGGGCAGAAATTGAAGTCTGTAAAGATTCAACATGTTTAAGATTTCACTGTCAAACTGGTTAAATTTAATGAGACAATAGAGATTTAAACCATTTAAAAAATCCAACAAAGTGAACATTTAGAACCCTGAAACTTCCAAAGAACATCCACCTTGAGGGTAAAGTCATGGGTTGATTTCATCTTCCTATTTTTTCCTGTCAAGTACTGCTTTAAAAAGTGGCTCATCGCTGGTCTAGATAGAAATGGGGCCTTTTATCAAAGAGAAGCCAATGTATGCTACTGCTGAGAAGAGTTTGTGGTTTAGACTAAAAAGAAACCCTGTTACTTCTACTAGCTTCCTTCCTCCAGAACATCTCTGCCTTCAAGATCCCCAAACACACACATCTGCACAGACTCACAGTCCTTTGAAAGCTTCAATGTGCCAAACACAGGAGGCGGCCGGTGGGAGTGGAGGGCCTTCCCCAGAAAGCTCAGCTCTGGGAGAAGGGAAGAAAGCAGCCGGCCCAGCCTTTCTCTCTCCTGCCTCTGCACATGGCCCACCTGCCCTGAAACCTCGGCTCTGCTTCACTCAGTTTTCGGGATGGGGTCACTGTCAGTCAATGCCCCTAGCTCTGAGATCAGGTCCTATAGAGTCTCACGGAGAGCGGTGGATGGGCCTGAATAATCTATGCTGTTGCAAATTGGTCCTAGCTTCAGCTTTCTCGGATTGCACAGCTAACATATCCAGAAAGCTTAAAATGCCAGCTTATCTAGGCAGATTTGCTAACAAACACACACAACTGGAACATTTCTATTGAAACTATTTTTGTACGGGCAAGTTTTTAAAAGATGGTAATTAGCAAAATTAAAGACAAAAGAAAACTTTTTCTGCCTTTTCAAATACTGCCTACCTGCAGTACCAAGGCAGAGCCCCACCTCCTGCCTGGAGCCCCCGCCACCCTCACGCCACCCCAGCCACGTCTCTCTTGTCTAAAGGAGGCTCTTCTGTGTGAAATCGCACAGCCTCCCATTACCGAGAGGCTCTTAGGAAATCCGTCCCACCTGCTGCAGCTGGAGGCCAGGGACCACTCTGCCGCTCCTGGGGTACCTGGCTTAGCGGGAGTAACGTGGGAAGCCAAGACACCCACTTAGAGCCGAGAGACCCGATGTCCTGGCCTGTGGTGGAATTCACACTCTGAGCGGCCGTCTGTCTCTGCTGACCTGCAGAAGGAGACCACGGGGTCCCTCAGTCCAGCTGTTTAGAACACTGGAAACAGGGGACATGATCTTAGCCCCACCTGTGGCATCTCATCACACTCAGAGGGTTAGGCTACAGGGTTTGATGCCCAGATTGAAGCCTCTGAGCCCCACGGGCTGGTTTTGTACAGTCTGCATCAGAACCAGCTTTTCCTTCTGCTGCTGCTGCTGCTGCTCTGGTCCAGACCCTGCCTGCCGTCTGCTCCCGGCCCCCATCCCGTCCCTCAGCCTGCTCCTGTTTTGGCCAGAGCTGCCAGTACGAACTTCCCGACCATTAACCTTTCTTTCCCAATTCAGGAACCTCCGGCATCTCTGGGCAGTTGAAGCTCTCAGGCCCCTCCGCACGGTGAGGAAGGGTCTCCGGCCGGTTTCCCGGCCCAGTGGTCTTCCCCCAGGATCTTTTGTCTCTCTGTCTCCATGCCTGGGACTGATGAGGCCAGACCTATTTCAAGAACCTGCCCCTGTGCCCTCCTTGGTCCTAAATTAATGAACAGCAACGGCAACAACAAAAACAATTTTATGAAAACATTCCCTTCCCAGAGTGTGTTTGTTTAATGAAATAATGGATATAATGTAATATACACGTATAGTGCCTGGTACGTAGTATATGCTCAAGAAGTATGTATTCCTGTTGTTATGGTTATATCATTATTAAACATGATTAAACATGTACACGAGTAGTAACAATAAACTCACAATATAATATCCACTGCTTTTGCCCTTTAAAGACTTTTTTTATGGGGACCATTTTTAAAGTCTTTATTGAATTTGTTACAACATGGCTTCTGTCATTTATGTTCAGGTGTTTTTAGCCTCAGGGCATGTGAAATCTTAGCTCCCCAACCAGGAAATGAACCTGCACCCCCTGCATTGGAAGGCAAGGTCTTAACCACTGGACTGCCAGGGAAGTCCCTGATTTGCCTTTTAGATTTTTAATTCATCTTTTTGTATCCTCAGGTCAAAGACCCTTGAGGTAGGCTCTGTACAGTTGTCCAGGTTCCCTAATGCCTAATGCAGTGCTGTGCATACAGTTGTTGATGTTCAGTCAGTAAATCGTGTTCAACTCTTTGCAACCCCATGGACTGCAGCACGCCAGACCTCCCTTGACCTCACATCACCTCCCTTGAATTTGAGAGTCTGCTCAAATTCAAGTGCATTGAGTTGGTGATGTCATCCAACCATCTCATCCTCTCTCATCCCCTTCTCCTTCTGCCCTCAGTCTTTCCCAGCATACAGTGGCATACAGGAAATATTTGTGGATGGAATCTTGGCAGCATCTCTGCCCTCCACCCTCCCCCGCACTCCTGGCTTCCACTCACCCAGGGTCTGCTTGGACACTTGCGTGGCCACGTTAGGTGGAATGTTGTATTTGGCCATGTAGATGAAACATTAGTTTGTGTGTATGTGGGTATGAATATTTAAATTCTCATTTAAAACATGTTAGGATGGAATGCAAAATCTTTTTTTCTGGCAGAAAGTCAAGCCCGTCTCTTCTCTATTTTCTCCTTCTTTCTCACGGTTTTTATAAATTACAGCTTGTCCCAATAAAAAATTATCCAGATGGCCAGTTCCTCACATCACATTTTATTCCATGCAGAGAACCTGTCTTTGTTTCTAAAGAATTCCTTTTTCACCACATGTTCTATTCTTGAAACAACTCGGTAAATTTCGGAATGAAATTGAAAAAAAAAAACACTGAATGGCTTAAATTCTCTCAAAGTGTTCTGATTTTCCTACCTTTCTCTCTGTATAATCAACAATGCCAGAGACATTACATAAATACATTAACATCATAAATATCCACTTGGCAACGCAGCCACTATGTACAGGGTGATAATGTCAGGTATTCCACCACTTTTATTTATATATAATGTATTCAGAGAAAAGTCTAATCCCAGAGGGAGTTTGGCATAGAACTTAAAAACCGAGATCCTAGCATGAATCTGCCTGGGTCTCAAACCCGACTCCAGCATACTGCCTGTGTGGCCTTGTGTGACTTACTTCACCTCTCTGTCCCTCAATTGCTTCATCTATAAAATTCAGATAATAATAGAACCTATCTTGAGGGATGTTGTGAGATTTCAGAAACTTACCATATAAAGAGAGCTTAAGTCAGCACATAACACAGAGTAAAAACTATAGAACTATGAGCTGTTTTAGATATTATGAGTATTAGATGAATCAAGTTGTGTTTAGGTATCATCTTTAAATTTTTGAATGATTTTAGTGCCTAAATTTAGTAGAAATAAAAAATTCATATATATATTTTAAATTAGTCTGGTCATCTCATATAAAATATTTTGCATGTTGATTCTCAATAACAAATAGTTAAAACAAATTAATTGAACAGTATGTCAAGATAGCTTATGGTAGAAAAAGTAGTGTTGAATAATAACTTTTTTGAAAGAAGTAAGTGTTCATTTTTATCCACAATTACATGGGTGCCCCTAATCTTTAGGCTTCCCAGGTGGCACTAGGGGTAAAGAACCTGCCTGCCAATGCAGAAGATGCAAAAGATTCAGGTTCAGTCCCTGGGTTGGGAAGATCCCCTGGAGGAGGGCATAGTAACACACTTCAGTATTCTTGCCTGGAGAATTCCATGTGGCATCCTTAGGGTCGCCACAAGGACACAACTAAAGCGACTTAGCACACACGCATGCCCTAATCTTTATTATCTCAATGTGGTTTATTTAAACTTAAAAAAAAGAATTATATAAAATCCTCCCTTCCAGATTTAATAAGATTACTAATGTTGGTTATTGCTAATTGGGATGATACTGCTTTATGCACATTAAACTGCAGAACAAGTTTGCCTTTGGTATGTTAACTGATTTAGGGGGAAGAGAATTGGCCATCAACTTCAGGAATTTGAAGAAAACCTGATTCTGAGACTTTAGATTGCTGCTCTCTCTATATATATGTATCATTTGTACTTGCTCACAATCCTCATAGAAGTAAAATTGGTAACACTTTAAGTCCTAGTTAGCTTTTGTAAGTTTCCATAGAAAATATTACAGGAATTCTACAATTAAATGCAACCTGCCTTTCAGTGTTAGTGTTAGTTGCTCAGTCGTGCCCCGACTCTTTGTGACCCATGGACTGCAGCCCACCAGGCTCATCTGTCCATGAGATTTTCCAGGCAAGGATACTGGAGTGGGTTGCCATTTCCTTCTCCAGGGGATCTTCCTAACCCAGGGATTGAACCCAGGTCTCCTGCACTGCAGACAGATTCTTTACTGACCGAGCTACAAGGGAGCTTTCAGTGTTTATCATGCCTTTTGATACCATTGGCCAAAAGGTCAATGTTACCTTAAAAACAAAAATTGTCTATTTAATATACTATGCAGTTTAAGCTGTCCACATGTTAAAGTTGGATGGCAGTGAGGGCAAAGCTTTGTCTCCCCCCCCCACCCCTGCTTCCTGGCACACCCCCTGCTCTTCAAGTCTCTGTCCACATCCTCTGAGAAGGCAGCACCCAGGGTTTCCTCACTGCCTTTGCTGCAGGAGGCAAGCCCCTCAGATGGTCTGTTCCATGAACACTTCCAAATACTTGGCCTCCACTCCCTCCAACAATTAAATTCTTATCTTTTGAAGATAACCCAGGAGACTTTAGCATCTAACCTCTCAACTCACATATATTGTCTTATCTAGGTCTGAGAAAGAAAGACTACAATTGGCTAGTAAAATAATTGAGACTGAGCTATACGATGCATGAATCTCCTAGAGACTGTGTTAGGAAAGAACTCTTAAAAGTCTCACTAGAGCCTAAGTCCTGGGCTGCATGAGGCCATGTTCCCAGACCAGGCTTCTCCTGGGAGCTGCTGGCCTTTCTCGGATGACTTCACTTTTCTGGATCAGCAAGAAGGTTGTCAGCGACCTGACACTCTTCCTGAAATACTGCTGACCTCTGGGTTTTACTTATGTTTTGAAGTACAGCACCCAAGGGGCTGTTTCCTCTTTGCCAGCTTGCTTGAATGTGTAAAGCCTCTAATGTCATGTCATGGAGAGAAGATGCTAATAGATACGTGGGCAGGGAGGGAATTCAGAGCAGGGGCCGAGGCACTCAGGCCAGAAGGACTCTTGGTGTCCGAGGCCCTTCCAGGCACCCCGGGGTTGTCAGTGCCCAGCAGTGGGGAAGCTTCCAATTAGGTATGTGGTGACAGCTTAGTTACACTCTCCCGGTCCAGACTGCCCATCCTCCAGGGTTTGACAGAGCATGGCCCATTATTTTTATTAGGACAGGGTAGTCATAAAGAAGTAGGACCACATCAGCTGCTTGGGTCTCAGAAGATGCAAACGTGGTGAGTACAAGATGATAATAGGGTTGGATGCGTAGGGCCCGGAGCCCAGGGATTGGAGCTAAGTTGGAGGAATCTGAAATGAAGGTGGGGAATCCCAGGCAGTGGGCAAAGCACGGTAAAAGAGAATAATTCAGAGGCGTAGGCACATGGGGGCCTGGCCAGCTGGGGGGACAGGCCTGCCTTCCAGGGGTGGGCTTGGGAGGCAGAGGGCTTGTCATGGGAGGGGGCCCAGCAAGAGCCAAGTAGGAACATGGGGCTTCCCTGAGGAGGGCTCCTGGGTTCTTTGCATGACAGTAGATGAGACTCTTTTTAAAATTTATTTTTACTTTCTGGCCATGCTGTGCAGCATGCAGGACCTTAGCTCCCCAACCAAGGATCAAACCCACGCTCCCTGCATTGAAACCTTGGAGTCTTAACCCCTGGACCACTAGGAAAAGTCCCTCTAGACCAGGTGTTTAGAAACAAAGTGTGTGTGTGTTAGTCACTTAGCTGCGTCTGACTTTGTGACCCCATGGGCTATAGCCCAGCAGGCTCCTCTGTCCGTGGGGATTCTCCAGGCAAGAATACTGGAGTGGGTTGCCATGCCCTCCTCCAGGGGATCTTCCCGACCCAGGGATTGAACCCGAGTCGCCTACATTTCCTTCTCCTTCATTGGCAGGCAGATTCTTTATCACTGAGCCAACAAGGACCGATGCAAATGCCAGGTTCTGTGACGCAGAGCCCATAAGGCTGAGCCCTGAGCTCGGGTATCAGAACTGGGCCCTGCTTCAGGTTCAGACCTTTGGACTTTAGATTGAACTGTGGGGTTTAGCGACTCACCAAAGGCTTCGGATCAGGACTGGTCCTGAGAATAAGGGGCAGCTGCACTGGCCTGTGGAATCGGGTGCTCCTGTCATGGAAGGAAGGCGAATTCAG